TCGCTAAAGTTTAGATAAATTAAGTCTAAGAATGTTGAAGTTGTTTTAGTGACATGTGTTGAACTGTGAATTTGTAAATGAAGTTTATATTGGAGCATTAAGTCTGAAAGTCTATTTCTTTTATTTCTTTTTGTTGTGTCGTTTTTTATATTTTTTTGGAGCATGTCAACATTTTATCGAAAAAATACACAAAAATTTATCGACCAAATTAACGATTTATTGAAAACCGGCCAAATTAGGAGTACCCTTAATCGACGAGAGCATGTATGCGTAGGTATATGGACGTGACGGAGGCGAGAGAGGTGTCAGGATTGTGCCAAATGGAAGTCTGTAGTCTCTGCCTACCCCTCTGGGTGACAGGCGTGAGAGTTTATGTTATAATCAAAGCCCGCGACTTCATCCGCGTGGAATTTATTACGATTGAATTTCATGGGTTTAAGAGGATACCTTGAAAATGAATCGAAGTTTTGGGGGCGTGGCTTATTTCTTTGTCGGTGAAGTTAACGGAAGACTGTGGGAGTGTCAAAATGAAAGTGATGCAATGACTTCATAGTACGCAAATTATGAGATAGCCATACCGAGCAAGCGCTCGGAAAAAAACTAAGTAAGCGCCATACAACATTTTTATTTATTTTAACAAAACTGCGTTATGGATAAAAAAACTGGTTTATGAAAACTTAGATATGGTTATTTACTATGCCTTAGAAATAATTCCATGGAATTATTCGTAAGAATGTTGTGGTGTCATCGAGAAATGTAAATAATTAGAGCCCACTTTGCAATTCTTTTCTATTGAGAAAATTACATGATATCGTGTTTTCCTTTTATGCAATCCAAGATCATATAGTCAAAAATCATATACCAAAATATTTTATTTTGTAATCTATAAAACTTTAAAAAATATGTTTAATAGAAAAACCACCAAATTTTCAAGGTATCACCTTAATGTTTTTTGCGCGGTATCCTAATTATTTTTCTAAAATTCTTCATTTGTCGCTCATTTTGGAGATTAGCCGGAAAAACAGGACCGATGAAATTTTTTTTTGTAATAAGTACTGTATATGACATTCATATGCACTTAGTAAAAAAACTGTTATTTTGACATTTTTTTCAGTTTATTTATTCGTATAGATTTAAAAAAAATTACTCCCCACACCAATTTTGCTCTAAAACCTTTAAAAATAATGTAGATAAATCTGTGTACTTCGGAACACTACCTTACACGTATAACTAACACGCACTTGACAATTATAAAGTTCGACAAATCGATCATGCTAGGAAATGTCGTAAATATTTCAAAACTTAAGTACCACTTAAACTGAATTTGTTGCATATGGTTATCACTCACTGCCAGCTCGACGCCGAAGGTTTCTTTTTTACTCTACTATTAAAATATGTATATTATTTTTTTATAGAATAAGTGTGGAGAGAACCCTTTTTAATGGAAACGAGACATTCCATCTTAGTCCTCACGGGTGACAACGCATCTGCATTTTGATTCGTAATCGAGGATAGATGTAGATGTCTATGGGCCACAGTATCCACTTACTACTAGGTAGACTGTGTGCTCGTTTATCACCCTATCCTATAAAAAAATATCTCTGAGAACAAGATGGACACCTCATAGCATTCCACAGGCTCTGTAATCCAAAACACAGCAGCGTATACATGTTGTTTGGCGGCCAAAATAAAAAGTAGCCTTTATTGCCACCATCTTGTATACAACTGTTTGCGGGGCTCTCTTCTGTACTTTTATCTATACGTGTTATTTATATTTTAGGAGTCCATCGCGGACAAACAACGTGACACGTAATTTATATATATTAAGATTGTAATTAAACGAGCCGTGGTAGCTCACATTGTGAACGCTCGCTGTAAATTTCACAGTACGGCACCTGGGTTCGATCACCGCCGGCACCAATGAAATTGTTAATTGCAATTTTTACGTGGTAGAGCCACGCTGCAGCTATATTATAGTTGTAGCACGAATGTGTCGTCTCGACCGGGGCAGGACCACGCTCTCACAGAATACCAGCGTAAAATAGCAGCGTAATGCTTCTGTGTTTCGTACGGTGAGTGCAGAGAAGCGGAGACCCTTTTTACTGGGATCGAGGCGTTCCATCTTAGACCTCAGGGTTACAACGCAGTTGCATTTTGATTCTTAATTGAGTATAATAAGTGAGTGAGGCTCACAGAAAATGTACCATAACACACAAGAACTTGTAACACACGATAACACACTGGAATTGTGTAACACACTGGAAATGTTGTTAAGCTTGATGCACATAAAGCAAGAAAAAAATTGAATTTCAAATAAAATACGATTATAGATAGAATTATTTATTTAATAAAACAACTTAAAAAACAAAGAAATCAAAATTTGTACTTAGAATTACACAATCGTATTATTTTGGCATTATTTGAATATATATATATATATATATATATATATATATATATATATATATATATATATATATATATATATATATATATATATATATACAAGCTTGTATTATCGTAGTGGTGTTGGGTATATATATATATATATATGTTATATCTACCTACTTGTAAATATTCTACTCAAAATAAACCTTATCGCTAGGATCAGCTAAAAAGTATTCTTTTGATCGTTTTGTGTTTTGTGTTATTTTAACCTGCTTAACTATTAAATCTTCAGTTACAGTGTCTTCATCTTTTATTTTGTGAATTACAAACTTTAGCTCCGGTTTTTTAATGGTTTTCAGAAATCGTATGGTAAAATAAGATTTTCCTTCTTTTTTAAAACTGTCTTCCAAGAATCCTATGTAATACTTCCACGCGGTTCTTTGATAATACCTTACAAGTACAGTGTCTTTGAAAGATAGCCTCCATATGTCTGTATTAATTTTTGATGTCACTTCCGAGTCATTTTTTGCATTGTCAAAGTTATTTTCATCATCCTGCAGAGTCGTAGCAATCACAGATTGTTCAGCTAAATTAGTTTTAACTACTCCCTGATTTTCATTAGAAAAAATGTTTATTTCTCTTGTGTCTTTACCAGTGTATGTATTTTTTTTATCTTCATGGCTTGATTGTTCTATTTTTTCTCTCTCTATTTTACTTGTGTCTGACATTTTTCTTAAATTTGTAACGTTCTTCTGTTCTTTCAATTGATAATCCATATGATCCAGATAATCATCATCTGATAAGATATCATCTGTAATGTGATACTCTTCATCAGAAGTATCATGCAAAGAAATCGTCATATCTTCGTCTGTACTGCTCTCCTCTTCCGTTTTAAGTTTCTTATTTGTTTTAAGGTGTATGTCTTTTATTTTTCTTTTCTTTGAACATTTCTTCATTCTGTCATGAGAATTTTCTTTCAAACTTTTGCTAGCAATGTCTGTTTTGAGGTTTATTTGTTTTAAATTGAATGGTCCATATTGTCTCAAATTAAAATAAGACCTGTTTTCTTGAGTATTTTTAATGTCAGCTAATACTGTTATAGACGTTTTAGACGGAATAGATTTTTCATTTAACATTTCTGTTTGCTTTAGCAAGTCCGCAGATTTCAGATTGAGACAGTCGCAAAAACCTGGTCTACTCTTTTTCGCAGAAGCAACTTAAACAACGGTAGGAAATAGAGTTAGCTGAGTCAACATTGTTAATAATCTGATGTATTTTCATCGTGTTTGGCACTGGTACGAGTTCTACTGATTCGTTCAGCATGGCATCTTCAGGTATAAAGAAAAGCTGTATTTTGGTTTCAGACGCTTGTAAAAATTCATAAGCTGTTTTAGCGTCAGGAACATTTGAACCATAAGCGACAATTGAGTCTAATTTTCTTTTAATGGCTCCTCCTACACCATCAGCGGCTCCTTTACCGTGTGACGCTTCGTAAAAGTTCCACGTGGAAAATGGAAAGCCCAACTCTTTCGTCAGTTTTGCGAAATAGTAAAAGTTTTTCTTCTGTCGGTATTGTACAGTTGGGCCATCTGAATAAAAATGAATCCCGTCTACTTTGGGTAATTTCTCCTTGACCAACTTAAGCACAGGTAAGAGATGTGCCCAAATGGCATCTGGTCCGTGGTCTTTGTTTGGACTTAAACTTGCAAAAGATTGATGACCTTTTTTCGGTATATAACACCCCAGTGTGGAGACTGATCTGTTGTCTGGACCCATCAAAATGCATGGCTTGTATTTCAGTGGCTAATTTGCAAGAATAGTTTTCCGAAAAATCGACGTGTAGAACGACAGTACGGTCATCTAAATTTTCTATGCACTGCCGATATTGTTTGTACTGATGCACGATATTGTAGGAATGGATTTTGAAACTTCGTAGTTCTTCTTGAAAGGCATCTAGGAGCATTTTTAGCGAACCAGTTTTTTTTTCTATGACGTTTTTTTTCGTAATTTTCGTCACATCACAATTTTTTTTTGGTTTGTATTCATGAGATTTCAAAACCCATTCATCCCATGAAACATTATAGTTTAGATCTTTTTCACCCATAGAAAAATCAATACGTTTGTTTTTGCAAAAATCACAGTCTCCGTAAGCACATTCCTTTGACTTTGAAGAACATACAACCATACTCAGTAACTCATCAAGATCTGTTGTTGCTATTAATCCAATTGAATTCAATGACGTGGCTTTCATTTGCAAATTTTCGTGCCTCTTGCAAGCGCAAGTTTCTCGTTTCTTGGCTTTTGGTGGTAATACATAAAAGGGTCTGTACCTTTTGAAAGTTGAAAATGATAATTTTCCTCCTTCTTCTCTATATTTCTGATATAATTTATGTAGAGTGCCAAGCAAATACTTTCTTTGTTTTTTTGTTTTTTTTTGTGTCTTTACTTCGTTTTTCCCTGCTGTCATCCTACTCACATCATCCCTTTCATAAAAGTTTCTTAACTGTGTCTGTATTAACGAGCTTTTATTTTTCTGTTTAGTGTGACGAATTTTTCCTTTAAGACCTAAATAGGTAGCCATCTTAGTTTTCATACTGTATTTATTAATGTTATCACTTTTGGTAAAAAAAATCTTTAATTAATCGTTTTTCTTGAGTGTTTTTACTTTTGTAGCTGTCTTTTATAGTGCCCACTATTACATTATGTTCTAGCAAAACTTTTTTCACGCTTTCTCTTTCTTCAGGTCGAATACTAGGTAAATTTTGATCAATGTATGCGCACGTTTTCGAAACGGGGGTCATTTGTTCAAGGGCTTTATCTTTTTTGGCAATTGGGCTTGACCTGTCTTCAAAGCTACGAATCATTTGGTTTTTCTCCTCAATAATTTCAAGTAACTTTTTATTTTTTTCCATAGAACGGTTTAATCTTTGCCTAATTTTTTTCAACGACTTTTTATATTTTTTTAATTCCTCTTCTAGCTTTGTGTTTTCATTTTTCAGTCTATAAATGACCCTTCTATTATAATTTCTCTTCTGTGTTAAAATTTGTCGTTCTAAAGGCACTACTTCAGGCTTAGGTTCTTTCTTACTTTTCTTCTTTCTCTCTCTCCACTGCTTTCTAATGATTTCTTGATCAGATAAAGGATATTCTGCTATTCTTTTTCTATTTCTTTTTGTTCTTTCTGCATTTTGTTTTTGCTGCAATTTAAATTTTTCAGGATTTACTTCTTTCAGCCGTTCTCGATAAAGTTTCTGCCTTTCTTTAGGTGTTAGAGGCATCTGTAAAATCAACATAAAATAAAAATAAAAACCATGAATGCAGTTACATTTTACTTTTTGTTGTATATTAAGTAAACTTTTTTCTGGTTTAAAACCCAAAAATAGCCTACTTTAAACAACAAATTTATATGGGACCAGCCTGAAGGCATTCTCTATTCACCAAAAAGTATTTTTGAAATTGGTCTACAGAATCTGGAGAATCGCGTAACATACATACAAAAGAAAATAAAAAATATCAGTTGAATTGAGAACCTCCTTTTTCTTGACACAAAACATAAATATTTAGCTTTTTCTATACCTAAGTATTGCAATGTGAACTAAGCTTTATACTTTTCACGTGTGTTACGTCACACAACTTTGTAACACACGCATCACACGTGAGCAAACACTCGTGAAGAACATAACCTAAAATTCAGGTAGCATCTTTACTTGCAAAGCAAATCCGTAATAAACTGCATTATTTAGGAATATTTAATGTCTCTTTCAACTATATATATTACAAAACAACTTAATGTTATTACTTACCTTGCAAAATTATTTCCAAAAGTCTCTAAAGTCCAATGACGAAAAATAACACACACCAAGTACTGCCTACTGCCCGTAAACCAAGATGTCTGACAAAACACTGACGTTTCATATTGAAAGTTATAGTGTTGCCATTGTGAAAAAAATGGATGACGTGTTGCTATTGCTTCTACCAAAAAAGCTGCTATGTAACACAGTTTTTGTAACACACGTGAATCAGATGGAACACATTTGTTTATTCAATCGTTTTTTAATTATTTTTTTACTAGTTTTATTACACTTATTATTAGAACAGTAGTTTTATGCAATTACATTTAGCATAACATTAAGAAATCACGATACTTTATTCAAACGATGAAGTAATGAAGAAAAAGAAAATGTACTACGCATGGACACATTTTATTTTTCTATGAAATTACATCTCACCAACTTTTTGTACCAGTTTGTTTTTGCTTATATTAAAAAGTATTCACAATTTAAATGGAGTAATATTAACAAGCGAATAATGCCCAATACAGAAAATAATCAGATTATTTACAAAGAACTACCAAAAAATATATTATATATTCTTGAATTTCGGCACGTGAAAAATATAGACGAAGTACATTTTTTGTGAGCCTCAACCAAGTGTGGATGTCTATGGGACGCAGCATCCACTTACCAACAGATAGATTGTGGGCTCGTTTGTCACTCAATGCTATAAATAAGTGCTGATTTATATGATGCTCGCCGGTGAAGGAAAACATCGTGAGGAAACCTGCTTGTCATAGAAATAAGAAAAAAAATATTTTAAAGACATGTGAAGTTCGCCAACAAGCACTGGGGCAGCGCGGCGGAAACTTCCTTGCCCTAAAACCCTGTCAGAAATGAGAGGAATCCTGTGCCCAGCAGCGGGACGTACATAGGTAGGCTGTAACTTTAACTTTTTATAATTTTTTCACAGAATTATGTACTATACAATTATGTATTTGCATGCAACTGGCCGAATATGCTTGTACTATCCCTAATTGAAATGCCTGTAACCACCAACATACCTATTTGTTGCAAATAAAGTATTATTATTCTAGTTTCTCAAGCAAGGCCTCCACCATATCCGCTATCCGATCATCGAATTCTATTTCTGACTGGTGCCTTCTCTGTGTCCAGGTCACCACGCGGCCGCGTAGTAGCCGAGGGTGTGTACAATAACGCGCACTTTATGCACGCGGCGACCTCTCACGTGGGGGACATCGTGCAAGTGCTCACGCAGTCCGGCAGCCTCTGGGAGGGCGTCTTTAAGACATTCAGCGCGCAGTTCGAGGTCAGTGCTTTATCTAGCTCCACTACCCCTTATCGTCCCGTGGGTGTCGTAAGACGCGATATAACAAAACAAATAAGGAGATGAGCAGCAGCGGCTTCCTGATAACGACTAAAAATAAAAAACTGCGGTTGCCAACCCGCTTGCCAAGCGTGCCAACTGTGGTATATACGTATCCCCTCTATGTTGCCTCATATGGGAGGGCTATGTTCAGCTGTGGACTTTAATAGGCTGCAACGGTAACGGCTTTATCTATTTGCTTTCCATTTTCTGCATGTAGAGTTGGATTGAACTAAGGAGTAAGTGGGCTTATAATATCCTAATAGTATCCTAAGTAGTAAAGTAAGCCTGTAATTCTTTTTTTTAACACTGTGGGGTAACCCACGGTCTTAGGTCTAGTACTGGTGGCTAGTTTATAAAATAAAAAAAGCTCAAGGAAGTTTTTAAGTCAAAAATATGGATATTCAGATGATAATAACTTATATCGTACGTAATAATTCCTTAAAATAAAATCGTAAGAACCTAGTATTTCATTATATCTACATTTCCAATAATTATGAAAATCAGATGATGTTTACGGGAGGCAAAACGTTATCGCTTTTTGTATGAAAATTTACAGCGTCACAATCCTTACGATCAAAATCAAAGTAGACTTCACTAATATTAAAGCGACTTAAACTTTGGTTTTAATCATACGTTTGACTTAAGTAACTTGCTGTTACTAGCAAAATCTGTGTCATGAATACAAAGCAATAAAATATATTTTAACACGTCACTGTCCTGGAACGAATGAATGATCATATTATTGTCATTATTAGAATAAAGCGTTACTTTGAAATACATTTGTCCTACAGCAGCTTGCGAAAATAATATGCCGTGTATTTCATTATTCGAAGAACACCTCCCTTCCTCCCACAATCGCGAACACTATTATTGGCTAAATAAGTTAAACCTAACACTACTTTAACCCATATAGGATCCACACCACCGTAGATAGTACGGCACGTGGTTTCGTCTCAAAACCAGGCACAGGATTCCAGATAGATCCTTAAATTTGGTGCTAAAATGCCTTAGTGGTTATTTTTACCGCAGAGCAACAGAAGTTTTTACATTTAGACTTTTTAAAAATGTCAATAGAAACAGTAGAGGTAGACGTCCACTTAGCTACCTAACCGATATAACTGAGATTTTTATTTTTATTCCTGTGGTTAAAAGCCACTTGGCGTTCGTGTAAAGACTATTTTGCCTTTTTGTTTAAATGAAGTTCTACTTTCGATCTTGTAGATTTAATAATAAAATATTAAAAATATTCCTGTATGGTTGACAATTTCCGTATAATATATTATGTATATATTAGATCGTTAGAATAGGGCAGATCGTAATCTGTCTGGGCATTTCATGATTTGGCCGATAATTTAAAATTAACTTTGACTTCTCTTAATATAATAAAAATACGAAAGCAATAACATCGAGTATTGGTTAAGGTGCTACTAGGGTAACCCTTGTACCACCCCAAAAGCCGCGTACGTTTTATATCTTCTCTTATATAAAAACCGTTAGTCTCGGAAAAACGTCTGAATATTTTTGTGTCCATTTTAGTGAGTTTCTGGATGGTTTAAGAACTCTGTTGGTCCCGGTAGGTGGCGCTGTTGTCGAGATCCAACAATCACCCGTGCAAAGCCAGGGTGGATCGCTAGTATTATATAAATTAGGCACAAATTGCTATAACAGATAAATCGTTGGTCAAATGATGAAATTGCGGTGTATCAAAAAATACCATCTGCCTAATTCCACGATTGGACTACGACATATCTTTTTAACAAGAGGTTGTTATACAGTTGTGTTGCAGTCTATAAAAAGTCCTTCTCCATAAATTGCCTCATAGTTGGAATATTCGCGTTTATTTAATTTATTAGCATAGCAGTATTTTTTTAAGTTATTATTAGGAAGAAGCTGCTGCCCATCTCCTTGCTTGTTCCCTCTGTCATCTCTTATGACTCTCACGAGACAATATGGGCTAGTGGACACACACACTACAGTAAGGAGTTGGTGACCTGATTGAAATTACCAAGGATGACATATATTATATCATTGTAGTAGTATGTACTACGTATTAGATCAGACACCAAGAACAAAATCTGTACGTACGTAAAGTACGGGGCGCGTGAAGGAGGCACAGGCACAGCGTACCCTTGTTAATTATGACAGAGACTAAGTTTGAGCCCGCGAACTCTAACGCGTGTTGCTAACGACCTATCTCGAGGTCTGTTCTACTACACAATACATTTTACTTCAATGTGTTATATATGTTAACTTAAATATGCAAATTCTAAAAATAATTTGAAGGTTACTTTATTCCATCACGACGGAGCGTAAAAATAACGCATTATCCTTTCATGTTCGCTGTCCGCGTTAACTCGACCCGAACATTGAACGCACTCCGGGACAAAGACTCATCATAGGTTTGTGTCTCACTGCAACTGTGGGCATTTTTATAAGAAACGTCTCAGTTTAGTCTATCATCTATATTATAATATCGCTTGTCTGGCGGAAAGCGCGAGAATTTGGTAAATACATGTGAATCAACATTCAAGACAAGTTAATGATGACCAATGACTAGGTAGGTAGGTGCATGTGCTTTACGAATGTGACTATAATGGTAAAAGTAGCTATTTTACCCGATATCGCATCACGTTTTCATTGTCTTATACGTGGTAGACCCTTGCTGCTATATTACGGTTGTAGCACGAATTGGTCGGCTCGATCGGGGATAGACCAGACTCTCACAAGATACCAGCGTGAAATAGCAACTTAATGCTGTTGTGTTTCGTATGGTAACGAGGCATTCCGTCTTGGTACTCAGAGATAACAACGCATTATGCGTTTTGGTTCTTAATCGAGAATACATTTTGATTAAAACTACTTTTACGGATTTTATCGCGTTTAATTAGTTTTATTTTTAATACCCGACGTTTCGAGTACTTTTCAGCACCCATGGTCACGGGGGACTGAGCTGACTGACGTCCTGATGTCAGTGTTAACCCGGAGTGCCTTCAGCTTTTTAATTATTGTTTTTGGTCCAATCTCCGCAGTATCAACTTATTATGTTTTGAAGTTTTGCTATGTATGCTTGGGTTTAGTTTTAATTTTATTAATTACAGGGTCCCAAGCAGGTGGT